TTAGCTGAGTGCATGGTACTTCTGAGCTCTTCATAAATGCTTTTCATTCTTTTATCCATTAATTAATTAATTATTTCATCCTTTCCCTCAGCCTCTCAATGCCCCAGGCAATTGTGTAGGACTGTAAGTTTCAGAGTAGCTGACTACCTGCCCTGGGAGTTTCCTGCAATGAAATCCCTAGACCAGTCCCAAAAATCTGTCTTCCACTCTGCCACATTTCCTTCCCTCTTCCAGTGAATTAAAGCCCCCTCCTCCCCACCCCACCCACTTCCAAGGGACCTTTGTCTAGTCAAAAGTTTCAAGCCAGAGAAGTCTTCTTCCTGGGGGATTTGCTGCTCAGAAAACTTCCCTAACTCCCCATGGCCTAGGGCAGCATCTCGAGTGTTCTATGGCACAGAGAAGGGGTCGGGGCTCCCTAGAATTAAGACGGGGAAGGGACCTTGGAGGAGCCTAGGTCTAGAACGGGAAGGGCCTCCAAAGGCCTGTAGTCCAACTCCCTCATTTTATAGATGAGGAAAATGAGACCCTCGGAGGCTAAGGGTTCACACAGGTAATATAAATATCAGAGCCAGGATCTAGGTTCCAGTCCAGTTCCAGAGGGCTGGTGAATGCACACTCGCTTTCTGCCTCCTTCCTCTCTTAGAGATGATGTAGTCCAACCCCTTCTGTTGCATTCCCACAAGGAAGGGACAAGCACAGAGAGTGATAGAATGATGGAAATGCGCGAGTGGGCTGTGGGTGTGTTATGCGAGATAGCCTTTTGATACTCCAGTCTGCTTGTCTTCACCGAGGCATCTGGGCCCGACACGTCTGTCGCCAAGCTCAGCTGGACCTGGACCTGGACCAGCTCAAACCCTAAGCCCGAGGGCAAGGGAAGGGAGAGAAACTCTAAACGGTTGAAGGATTGGGATGGTGGGGCCATGCTGCAGCGAAATTGAGTCGGGCTGAATGTAGTCGGTGAAAAGGCTGGACGCCGAGAGCTTTAGCCAAATGGAACAAGCTGTCTAGAGAGGAGGTGAGCTCCCCATCTCTGGATGTATTCAAGCCGAGGCAGGATTTCCCTGGCAGCAGGGATGCTCTATCAGCAGGATTCAGGCCATTGCACCCCACTGCCAACGGGGACTGGAGAAGATTTAAAGAGCTTGTCCCAGAGTGCAGCGGCTGACCGGCCAGGCTCTGCCCCACACCGCCTCGGGTTTCTCGGTTGGCCCCGCCCTCTGGCCACGCACAGTCTCAGCTCCGCCACGCCCCCTCGGGTACCCTGGTCCCTCATTAGGCACCCACACCCTCGGTCCCATGCTCCGCCTCTGCCTCAGATGCGGCTCCTCATTGGCCCCATCCCCGACGTGGCCCCGCCCTGTCCCCGCCTTAGCTTCAGCCTTGGTCTCTCATTGGTCCTGTCTCATGAGACCCCGCCCTCACCTCAGCCCTAGTCCCTGGTCTGGCCTCGCCCGGGTCGGCGTCCCCGCTTCTTCGGCTCTTTTCACCATGCTCCCTTTGCTTGGCTGGGGTTGGCCTCTCGCGAGGAAGGCGTGTCTCGGAAGAAGTCCCGCCCTGAATCCTGGAGCCAATGGCGGATGGCGGTTGCGGCCGTTGGATTTGAAGCGGCCAATGGGAGTGCGGCGGGAGCCTTCAAATGGCCGCGGCCGGAAACGCCCAGCCTGCGCGGGCAGTGGAGGAGGCAGCAGGGGCGGAGGACTAGGTGAGACCCGGCGGAGGTTCGAGGGGGCCGGGAACCGGGGAGCGGAGTGGGGCGCCGAACGTGGATTAAGTGCCGTCCCGGACGGAGGCGCGCCGAGAGCCAGGGTTGGAGCGAGGTCAGGGCTTGCTGTGCAGAGGCTCGGAGATGATCGTGGGGAGGATGGTGGAGGCTGTGGGAGCCGCGGACGTCTCAGAGTGAGAGCAGAGGAAGGCCTGGGCGGGGCTGCCCGCAGGTGTCGCCCCGGGGTCCGAGGAGGCCGCCCCAAGGCGAGCGGGGTGCGGCCGGCCCAGGGGATGAGGGGCTTCCCGGGGGCCGAGTGTTGAGTTCCTTGTTTGGGCTCCGGTACCGAGCGGGCAGGCTCCGCTTGGAAATGGGGGCCGCGACCCCGAGCGGGGCCCATGGCAGGCCTGGGGGCGTAGGGGGAGGGGAGAGTAGAGCCCAGCGCCGGGCGGGAGAGGAGGGGAGGCAAGGAAGCAAGCGCGAATCGAGGTGTCTCCTGCCCCTCAAAAGGGGTGGGGGAGGGGGCCTGGCAGAGCCGCGGGGGGGGCCCCAGGGTCGTGGGGTCGCACTCACTCAGAGGGAAGAGGGCTCCTAGTCTGTAAACGCAACGTTATCCGTGTCTTCTTTATTTTGCTCAAGGTTTCCCGGTTGCGCTTTGATCTGGTTCAGGCCAAGCTCGGGAGTGTTGTAGGCAGCGTGCTGGACATCTGGGGCACCGTGAGAGGGAGAGGCAGACGGGCCGGCTTGGACGCGGACAAAGGGGGAGCCTCAGTAGGGCAGGCAGCGGACTGTGTTGGATGTGCTAGGACATCAGGATGTTCAGAATAAACAAGGGAGAGACCTCAAGAGAAGACAACCACTGAACTGAGCTTGGGGGGGAAAAAACGAGGGCTGCGGAGAGGCAAGAGGGCAGAAATTCCAGGGGTGAGGCACAGCCTGGGCAAAAGCACGGAGGTGAGGGATGGCGAGAAGGCTAGTTTGGCTGGGACAGAGAGTGTTGGAGAGCGTCCTTTCCTAAGGCCGGAAAGGTGGGTTGGAACCCTGTTGGGCAGGACTTTAAATGGCAGCCTTGAGAAGTTTGCATTTGGCCCTGGCTCGTCAATAAGTAGAGGAAGTGAGACATGGTCGCCTTTTTCAATTTAGGAAAATCTTGTTAGTGGCTGTGTGGAGGTGGGAGGCAGGGAAGCCCACTGGGAAAAGATTTTGTGGTTCTGGGGAGTAGAGAGAAGGGAAAAGGTGCAAGAGATACCCTCGATGTGTTGGGGAAGGAGACTGAGGAGGTGAGGCCAGAGCCCTTAGCAGGAAGAGAGAAGTTTGGAAGAGGAGAGTTTTCTTTTGGGAGCAAAATGAGATGTTCTGGACAAGTTAAGTTTGAAATGCTACGGGACAATCCCTTTCCAAATGTCCAGTGATACCTGGGTCTAAAAGTCTGGGGGTTGATGGGGTCACCAAGAAAGGAGTAAAAGGTGAGAACATCTTTCTCTCCCCCCACCCCAGTGCTGCCTTGCTTGCCAGTCGCAAATCCAGGGCTTAGCACGTAGTAGGCACTTGTTAAATGTTTGTTGGCTGATTGAGGCAGTGGGAGGCCAGAAGCCCAGCTGGTTAGTGAGAGCTGAGGAGTGGTCCCATCCCCTTCCCTGCACTGACATCAGGCCTCCTGTGGGTGTCTCACAGATGCCAAAGTGACCATGTCCCTCTGCTCGAGAAGCTTCTGGGATTCCCCATTCCTTACCTCTACAGTAAAACACAGCCTCCTCTATTCACCATTTATTCATGGCCCTTCACCACCTGGCTTCAGCTGGTTTTTTCCCTGCCTGGTACATTTTCACCTGTTTGTTATTGCTTGTACATGGCGTTCCATCTCCTATGTCTGAGGCTTTGCACTGGCAGCTCTCCCTACCCCCACCCCCACTCGGCTTTGAGAGAAGCTTGGCCTCCAGCACCATCTTCTCCACTGACCTTTTTTTGAGGAGCCTCGATGCCCATGCCCTAACTGCCAGGCTGCCCTGCCTGCATTCTTCACCAGCTTTGTTTCTTGAGCACTGTTACTGTTCCAGATTTGTCTTTATATCCCTGGCCCAGCTTGCTTCTGCCCTTGACCCAGAATTCCCTTGGGGTTCATTGGCCCAGTCCTCTTCCTACCCTTGATTGGGGGTTCCTTCAGGAAGAATTTGGTCAGTCATTTTTCAGTGACCTTATTTGGGGTTTTCTTGGCAGTGATCCTAGGGTAGTTGGCCATTTCCTTCTCCAGCTCATTTTACAGAGGAGGAACTGAGGCAAAGAGGATTAAGTGACTTGCCCAGGGTCACACAGCTAGGTGTGCCTGAGGCTAGATTTCAACTCTGGAAGCTGAGTCTTTGGACTCTAGGCCTGATGCTAATCTCTCCCCTTCATCTTGTTCCTGCCTGAAGCTCTGAGTGGGGTTAAGCTTCATTTTACACTTTACAAATCTGTTACAAATCTGACCCCAGGAGGCAGCTCCAGGTGTTGTTCTGGAGTCTGGAAGCCCTGTGTTCCAGTGCCGCCAGCTTTGGGACCCTGGGCAATTCACTAAATTTTCCCCATAGGCCTTTTCTTATCTCTAAAAGAGGGTGCAAAACAGCCCCTGCCTCCCAGGGTTGGGAGATTGTCAGTGCTTGTAAACCTTAATGTGCTCTCTAAATGCTAGCTATTATTATATTCTCTAAGGGAGGGAGTCTTAATTTTTGTGTGGCACGGACTCCTGTGGCATGCTGTGTGGTGAAACCTGCAGAGGCCTTCTCAGAATGTTTTTTAAATACATACCATGGATAGCATTGCAAAGGAAACCAGTTTTATTGAAATACAGTTATTGCTGTACTTTGGCTCCCGGATGAAGAAGCCCTAAGCTTTCCAAGTCCTCCCCTTTCTGTAGATAAATCATCCAGCCCATTTTAAGAAGGTATTTCTTCCCTTTTATCCACACATGTACCTTCTCCTTGCTTTGCTGTCCCCTCCTATGGTCTTAGGTAATTTCTGGCCTGCCTCTCCCGCTTTCTATCCTTGTGCTGTTTATTTTTTTAACCCAATTCTAGAACTTTACATTTATCCCTTTAAAAGTTAATCTTATTAGATTCTAGCCTTTTAAGATGTCTGCAGTGCATTACCATCCCATCATCCTCGAGTCCCCTCTCTACACCGGATTCAGTCTGCCCCTTTCTGTCCCCTGCTTGTCACAGACCCTCACATTGTAGCCTCTAGCAGCCCAGGTCCTTCTAACAGAGGGCCCTGCATATCCTCAGGAGCTCTGAGGGATGGCTGCTGGCCTCTCTGTTTCCAGGTCCAGTACTATGGCTCAGTTTGTATTTGAGAATGACCTGCACTCCCTGCTCCAGCTGGACACATCTATTGTCAACGCACCTCCTGCTCGATGGCAGCGCAAAGCTAAGGAAACCCCCGGGCCCCCCCCTTCCCCAATGCGCACAGCGAACCGATCACACAGCTCCGGGAGGACACCAGGCCGGACTCCTGGTGAGTGAGGACAGCAGGGGGCCGGGGCCTGGGCCTGGGAGGGGAACCTGGCCGGGGGTCATGGGGAGGGGACAGCCCTTCCAGCCTCTGTCTGTCTTCTCAGGCAAATCTGGTTCTAAGACACAAAGCACTCCTAGTAAGGCGGGCGGGGATCGCTACATCCCCCATCGAAGCGCATCCCAGATGGAGGTGGCTAGCTTCCTGCTGAGCAAGGAGAATCAGCCAGCCAACCACACGCCCACCAGGAAGGTGTGTGGGTGGGTGTGTCTATCTGTGTGTATGGGCATGGGGTCGCCTGCTTGTGTGAAAAGCCAGTCTGGCACCTTCCTGACCTTGAGTTCTGCCCTCCTCAGGAGCAGCAGAAAGCCTGGTCCTTGAATCTAAATGGTTTCGATGTGGAAGAAGCCAAGATCCTCCGGCTCAGTGGGAAGCCTCAGAATGCCCCAGAGGGCTATCAGAACAGCCTTCGGGTGCTGTACAGTCAAAAGGCCACGCCAGGCTCCAGCAGGAAGAAGACCTGCCGCTATATCCCCTCCCTTCCTGACCGAATCCTAGATGCCCCTGAGATTCGGAATGATTACTGTGAGTGGCCTTGGGAAGCTTTGGGGGCGGGGGGCAGGAGAGCTCAGTAACCCTGGATACAGCTGCCGCCTGCTCTCTTCAGACCTGAACCTCATGGACTGGAGCTGTGGCAATGTGCTGGCTGTGGCTCTGGACACATCTGTGTACCTGTGGAGCGCGGGCTCAGGGGAGATCCTGCAGCTGCTGCAGACAGAGCGGCCAGGGGACTACGTGTCCTCTGTGGCCTGGATCAAGGAGGGAAACTACCTGGCCGTGGGCACCAGCAGTGCAGAGGTTCAGGTGAGAGCCAGAGGTTCCCTGAGGGGAGCCCTGATGGGAGGCAGGGACTCCAAGGGGAGCCCTGACTCCCAAACCTTCCTTCCCTCCCTCTCCAGCTATGGGATGTCCAGCAGCAGAAACGGCTTCGAAACATGAGCAGCCACACAGCGCGTGTAGGCGCCCTGGCCTGGAACAGCTACATCCTCTCCAGGTCTGAGCTGGGCCCTCGTCCCTGAGAATGCCTGCCTGCCCCCACTGGCTCGCTCCCTCTATCAAAACCACAGTCCTGGTGGGAAGGAGGGGGAGGGTTGTTTGGATGGATGGAGACCCTTTCCCTCAAGGGAGTAAAGGGTCTCAGAGCCCCACCTTTTGCTGTCTCCTCCTCCCAGCGGGTCTCGGTCTGGCCACGTCCATCACCATGATGTCCGAGTGGCTGAACACCATGTAGCTACGCTGAGTGGACACAGCCAGGAAGTGTGCGGCCTACGCTGGGCCCCTGATGGCCGATACCTGGCCAGTGGAGGCAATGACAACTTGGTGAATGTGTGGCCCAGTGCCCCTAGTGACGGGGGCTGGGGTCCCCTGCAGACCTTCACTCAGCACGTGGGTGCAGTCAAGGTGAGAGGCCAGGGCAGCCAGAAGTGAGATGGCTCAACTGTAAGCGGGGGAGAGGGGGGAGCTGGCACTCTTCTAAACCTCGTTTTTCCCCTTCACCTTCTTCGCTAGGCTGTGGCCTGGTGTCCGTGGCAGTCCAACGTGCTGGCCACTGGAGGTGGCACCAGCGACCGGCACATCCGGATCTGGAACGTGTGCTCAGGAGCATGTCTCAGTGCCGTGGATGCCCAGTCCCAGGTGTGCGCCATTCTCTGGTCCCCACACTATAAAGAACTCATCTCTGGCCATGGCTTTGCCCAGAACCAGCTGGTCATCTGGAAGTACCCGAGCATGGCCAAGGTGGCCGAGCTCAAAGGTCACACAGCCCGGGTCCTGAGCTTGACCATGAGCCCTGACGGCTGCACCGTGGCCTCAGCTGCCGCTGATGAAACCCTGCGCCTCTGGCGCTGTTTCGAGCTGGACCCTGCGCGGCGGCGGGAGCGGGAGAAGGCGAGCGCAGCCAAGAGCAGCCTCATCCACCAGGGCATCCGCTGAGGCCTGCCCCAGCTCCACCCCCTGCCCACTGGGTTTTATTTTTCTAATAAAGACATCTGTCCCCCTGCCTCACTCTGTCATGTCTCAGATCACAGGTACTGCCTCGAGAAGGCTCAGGAAGACTACGTGCAGCAGTCTGCAGGCTCCTTGGACATGGGGCCTTGGCTTAGTCTTGAGACACAATCGGTGAATAAAGCCCGGCCCAATCATGTCCGCTCCCTGTCCCCAACACACGCTCAGCAGGACACAGTACACCTTCAAGTCACTGATGTTTCCTGTCACTTTAATTAAGACACGTGTGAGTGAGCAGCCCCTGTGGGCCAAGTTCTCCCCGCCCCAGCCCTTCTGGCAGATGTGGGGCGAGAACAGTCCCCGATGACCAGGGGAAGATTATTGCTGACCTCTTCAGTGTGAGAAAAGTTAAAAGGCCGCAGGCCTGTGGTCGGGGCCAGCCCTGAGTATTCCCTTTCCCTAGACTAGACAGGCTGGCCCAGGGTGGGGGGAAAGGGGGCACGTCCAGCTCAAGCTGCACCCCCACCCCCAGGGCTGTGCAAGGGGAGCCCCTGTGGTTAGGGGTAAGGTCGGGGAGGGGGGTGGTTGTGGTCCCTGTGTGCCAGCTCATAGGAAGAGAGGAGAGTCCAGGTCTGTCCCCCTGCTCTAGCCAGGTCCCATGACCCACCAGCAGAGACCAAGACATGATCCACAGACCCCCTGCCCAAATGGTATGGCTGCCCTCAGTGCAGCCCTGAGGCACTTAGGTGGTGGGTGAGGGCCAGGGTGAGGCCAGCTTGGCTCAGTTCGCCTTGACTTTGGGCACTCCATTCTGCTGGACAGCCCTGGGCAGCCGTTTGCCCTTTGTATAGGATTGATACCAGAAGTTGGAGAAGAGCACAAAGAAGACGGTGCCATATATCCAGATGAGGTGGATGATCACAGGGTACTGGTAGTCACAGCTGGGCAGGAAATAATACTGAGAGATGTGCAATGAGACCAGCACAAACTGGATCTGGGGGGGAGAGAGGCCTAGGCTCAGGGCAGAGGGCAAGGGCCAGGCGTGGGCTCAGGACTGGGATGCTGAAGAAGGACACAAGGAGGGATGGAGGGGAAGGAATGGGAGGGGCTGGTGGAAAAGTGGGGAAGGAAGGGAAATGCAGGAGACCCTGAAGAGGGAGGGAGCAGGTTCTCTCACCAGCTGGATAGCTGTCATGTGCTTCTTCCACCACAGATAGGGCTGGGCTGCTGGGCCCAAAGCAGACAGCCCATAATAAAGGTACATGACCACATGGACAGAGGAGTTCACCATGGCATGGAAGGAACCCATTCCTCCTGGGAAGCAGGAAGCAGGGTAGAAAGATAGGGTCAATGCAATGCTGGCACTAAGGGAGCTAGCAGCCTCTCAAAGCCCACCACTATCCTATCCACTCCTCACCTGGGGCCACCCTAACGCCCCACCACCAGCTCCAGGGCAGCACAGAGTGATGGAAGACATGCAAGAAAGTCACCTGACCATCCTTCTTTCGAAGAATAAAGATTACCTGTAGGGGAAGGGGTAGTGGTCAGGGCTGAGGCCTGGCTTCCCCCAACCCTGCCCCTGGCCATCCCAAGCCCCAAACACATTAGCACTCACCGTATCCATCAGTTCGATGAACTTTGAGAACAGAAAGAGCCAAGCCACACGAACCATCTGCAAGGTGGAAGGAAGGAGGCCCCCAGTAAGGCCCCCTGGCCAGTTCTAGCTCCCTACCTCAAGGCACCCTGGCACCCATCCCTACCCAGGGTTCAACTCACCCGAAGGGCCTCAGGGTTCTGGGAAAAGTCCACAGGGTCGCAACGCCATGTGTAGGTGCTCAGCCAGCCAGACATCAGGAACTGGGGCAGGTGGGGGTGGGGAGGAGAAGCTGGTCAGAGGGGCCGTTTCCCTCCTCTGACAACCCAAGGCCCTCAGAGGGCCCTGCTCTGCAGCTCCCCCCCCTTCTTGCCTGCCTTTCACTAAGCTGGATACCCCCTTTTTCAGTCTGCTGTGGGCATTCGACAATTAGGAGGGGGAGCAGGGCCAACTGCAGCCCCTCCTGAACAACGACCCCTCACCTCACCTCATAGACTATGTAGAGGGACAAAGCCACCAGGGAGAAGTTGTATGTGACCATGAAGCCTCGAAGCTGGAGTGGTTTCCGATTGGCCATCAGCCGGGGCCCCAAGGACAGCACAAAGTAGACATAGGCCACAAGGATGGAGGTCATGAGCAGCGGGGTGTCCATCAAGGGGTAGCCCTGGAGCCGGGGATCTGTGGGGACACAAGCGCAGGGTCAGGATCTGGGGAGGCTTGGGGAGTGGGGAGAGGTCGGAGGGGCTCCAGTCTCACCTGCTTTCTTCATCACTTCATGGTACAAGTTGATTAAGGACTCCATCCTGGCTGGCTGGGCTTCTGGGAAGGGAAGTGCAGAGGGGTGAGGGTCAGGCAGGGTCCATAGATATGCCACTGCCCTATGGGGTGAAGAGTGGTGAACAAGATGCCCAGGGATACTTGGGTTCTCTGGCTAACCAAGGTCAAAAGGAGAGGAGATGGTAAGATCAGAGACAGAGAGGCAAGGGAGCGTGGAGAGGGAAGGAGGGCCGGTACAAACTCGAGGAACACTGGAGAAGGGCGATGGAGCCTGGCCAGAGAAGGGAGAGTGGAGGACCAAAGCACAGCAGACAAGGCAGGGAGGCCCGGCAGAGAAGCAAGGGCACGCCTGGGGCCCAGGGCACTCTTCTGTTCACCTGCCTGGCTTGGGGTGTTGCTCCGGCCCCCTTCCTCCCCCTGCCAGAATCTCTGTCCTTGGTCCCAAGCTCTCTTCCTTGATTGCCTCTCCCTCGCTCCTTCTTCTCTGGCCTCCCCGCTTCCCCCGGGCCCCAGCCTTCTTTCTCCCGACCTCCTCCGCTGTCCCAGGTGCTCTCGCCCCTCTCTTCCCCGGGGCTGGGCGGGCGGACAGCCTGGCCCACTAGCCTCTCTTCTCTTCTCTCCTCTCTTCTCCCTCCCGTCCCCTCTCCAGCCCGCTCACCCACCTCCTGCCTCTCCCGGCCCGTTCTGAGGTGCTCGTGGGCCCAGCAGCTGCACCTGTCTGACTAGATCAGGCAGCAGCCCCGCCCTCCACCCTCGCAGGGCGGGTCCAAGGAGGATCCGGGCCACAGGTCAGTCGCCTGTGGGAGTGGTATGAGGTGGCGAGGTGGTGGGGAAGAGCAGGTGGGCGTGGCCCGGGCCTGCCAGGATTGGGAAAGGACTCACTGCCCCGGTCCTGGTAGCAGTCCCCGTCCCCGGACCCCTCCCCATCCACATTCCCAACTGGCCAGACAGGCTCTCACCTCGAGGGGGCTTGGCAGGCCGGAAGGGGTGGGAGCTCAGACGGACTAGTTGAGCCCCCAGGCCTGGACTGAGTCCTGGAGTGACCTGACAAACAGCAGGGGGAACGGGTTAAAGTGGGGAGCAGTAACCCCCTCAGTGTGCCCCCTGGATAGGCCCCCTCTGGAGGCCTGCCCAGCCCCAGCCCTGAGTGGGTGGCAGGAGTCCCTGGCATGTAAGGGGGAGGGCAGCAGCCACCCCCAAATCACCCCTTCCTGGAGGGAGGGGTCCCAACAAGCAGGCAGGAATGTCAGAGGAGGGGCAGCCACCCTGGGCCCTCTGGAATTCCCTGACTGGCCACTAGCCAGGGCCAGATACACAAAACAAAGACAAATTGATCCAAGAGTGGACTGCAGGCACATGCAGGGAACCCATAAAAGATGCAGAAAAATAGATAGGGATGTCACTCTCTCTCTTTCTCACACACATACACACACACACACACACACACACACACACACATAGAGACATGCATGCACTGGCTCCCTATAGCCTTAGAGGCCAATCCTCACTTTGACATTTAAAAAGGCCCTTCACAATCTGGCTTCATCCTCTTTCCCTATATTTATTATATGCTTCTCTCCTTCATGTCCTTTAGCTCAAGCAGACTGGCCTTGGCTTCCTCATACATGACACTACATCATCTCCCATCTCCGTGCCATTGTAACAGGCAGTTTATGCCTGGAACACCTCTCACTTCCACTGCATCTTTGATTTTTAGCTGCCTTTAATGCTCAGCCCAGTCATGGGATGGATCCCAGATCTCCATCCAGCTGGAAGCGCCATCTACCCAGTTCATCCTCCCAGCTGCTGGTGTCTCTCCCCTCACAGCAACACCCCCCCCATTAGTCTGTCTATATTCTGTATTTGTCAGTATTTATGTTGCTTCCCTGGAGAGAATGTAAGGTCACGGAGGATGGGAACTTTCATTTTTGCTTTTGTAGACCTCTGGCCAGCACAGTGCCTGGTACAGAACACAGGACGTGCTTAAGGAACCTACACATGCATTCATGAATGAATAAATGAATGAATGAAGCTCAGAGGAAGGGACTGTGAAGTCTTTGCACTGGCCTGCACACCTCAACACTGTTGCCCAGCATATGGAAAAGGAGAGCCAGGGCAGGCCCCAAACCCCACTGCCAGGGGCCTCATCTCCCAGACTGCCTGCCTCACCCCTAACCCCCACAAGGGGAGGAGGGGATACTCTCCAAGCCGGACAGTCAGGTGGGCTCTGCTCCCTTCTCAGCTCTCTGGAGCAGGTGCTCAACAAAAACTTGTGGGCAGAGTCAACTGACAGCCGGGGCTAGGGTGCCTAGGCTGGGCTCCTTGGGCAGTTTGCCAAGCCTGACCTCCACCCACCCACATACTCCAACCTCTACTCAACTACATCCACCTACTTCACACCCCTACAGGACCCTGCCTCTCTGCCTCCTCCGTCATCCCCCGGTATGATGAGGGAGACAGGGGGGCTGGCCCCATCGAGGCCGTGCTGGGAGTCCCAGAGGCCTAGAATGCCGGACAAGGGCTTGCCTCGGCGGTGGGGACAGGCGCCACCTGAAGGGGAAGTTTGTGTCCCCAGAGGCCTCGGGGGCGGGTCCTGGTCCGCTCGCACATGCCCGCGGCGCGATCCCCGTCCCGGGCTCCGCGCGGGCTCACTCTGAGTGCTCTGGCACTGCCAGTCACGGTCAGGGTCACACTCACACTCACACGTGCTCCTCCCCACCTGAGTTCGGAGAAGGCCCAGGGCCGCTCCCAGTGGGGAGCCAGGCTGCCCGACCCCACCCCCTACGGCACCGCGAGACTCGGGCCCCCTCCCCCTTCTCCCCCTCTCTCTCCCCTTCCGGCCCGGGCCAGCCCGGGCTGGCCGGAGAAAGGGAACACGGGACGGGAAGGATGGGGAAAGCGGGGAAAGAGGGCCCAGCTGGGGCCCCCGGAGGGAGACAGGACAGCTGAGACGGAGGGAGGAGGGATAAGGAACGGGGGCCCAAGCCCGGTCCGGAGGGAGAGGGGCAGATATGCGGAACCCCGCCCTCCCGCCCCGCGCCGGCCCCCGCGCCAAGCCGCGCCCGGAGCCCGAGCCCCGCCTGCCCCGCCCGGGCCCAGGAACTCACCGGGCCGAGCGAGCGCGCGCAGAACTCCGCGGGGCGGGCGGTGGGACGGCCGGACGGGCAAGGGCCGGGGGCGGGGGGAGGGCGGAGGCGGACCAGCTAGTGGAGGGCCGGGCGCGCCCAGGACCAAGGACCAGGGCGAGGGCGAGGGCAGTCCGTCGGTCGGTCGGGTCAGGGCGTCCGTCGGTCCGTCCTAAGGCCAGCCTGGCCGCCACTTCCTCCTCCTCCGCCTCCTCCTGCTCCCGGAGCTGCCGCCGACTTTCTGTCACCCCAGGGGGAGGGCGCCGAGGCCGGGCCCGAGGGGCGGGGGCGCCGCTGATTGGGCCGGCCCGGGCCTGGAGGCCTGGCAGGGCTGGGAGGACTGGGAGGGCTAGGAGGGCGGGCCTCGGCTCAGCTCAGCTCAGCTCAGCTCAGCTTGGCCAGCCCGGCCCAGCCCAGCCCGGCTCCGCCCGGCCCACCCCGACCGCGGGGGAGGGGCCTAAGAGGGAAGGGGCTACGATCTTCGCCCGCCCGGAAGCTTTCGCCCAGCAACCCCCTAAGTGGCCCTGCCCCGACGGTTCGGTCCAGCCTACTGCGCTTCCCCCGCCCCCCACTGACAAGCTCCTAGGGCCGGCCCACCCGACTGGGACCTTCTACGGTCCCGTTTCTTCATCTGTATGACTAGGGCCTTGGACTCCATGGCCTTCAAGGGCCCCTTCCAGTTCTAAGGCCATGAAGCCAGCCAGCTGTGATCTTAAACATCTCCAAGGGCAAAGTCAATCCCATATAAACTTCACTCGAAGCTATTCGTATCAGACTCGGATGGCGCCCAACGTTCTGACACTGTCATGGCGGGGGAGCTGGGAGTCTCTCGGTGAACATTCGAGAGGACGAACAGCTAACCCCAATTCTGAGCTGGCCTCAAGCATGGAAAGATCTGCCGTATTGAGGAGGGATCTCCCTTGTTTCTCTGGGCCCCCGGGGACAGAACCTGGAGTTGTGGGAGAAGTTTCAAAGAGGCTTGTTATTAAGAACTTCCCATCAATCTAGAGCAGTCCCAGGGGGCTGCCTCAGGAGGTGGAGAGCTCCCCGTCTTTGGAGCTTTTCAAGCAGAAGACTGAGAACCGCTTGTACGTTGGAGAAGGGATTTCTTTTGTGTTTGGATTAAACTAGATGCCTCTGAGTTCCCTTCCAGCTCTCCAATCCAAGGATTCTCAACATCCTGGTCAACTTTTTCGGAAGATGCCAGCATTTGAACCCGTAGTGCTGTGTGGTCTGAGCAGAGCAGAGTGTTGTGAGGCCACTGGCACCCTGGCTAGAGACATGAGGCTTTAGACTAACCCAGAGGAAGGACCAGCCTTCTCTGGTCTCCCTGCTGACTCACACGAAGCCTGCAGTCAACCAAAACCCTTAGGTTTTCTTCTTTGTTTTGGTCCAGACTTGTAATTTCATTGGTGTAGACCAGCAATTTCCACTCCCTGTGTGGAAACTTCCTCTGCCAAAGCACATAGGCAACCACTCTGCAAATTAAAGTCTTAGAGAAGTTATGTCGCCAGTAACATATAAAACGCAAGACTTGAATCCAAGTCTTCCTAAAACAAGGACCAGCTTTCTAGCCACTCTCCTGTTGCCTCTCTTGCCGATCTTTTTTTCACATGAATTATTCTCTTGTCACAGCCACATCTTCTTGATTCAATATTTATAGAACTGGTAGGTTTTGTTTTAACCAATTACAAAAGTAATAATAATAGCTACAGTTTTATATGGCACTTCAAGGTTTGAATAGCACTTTAGGTATTATTTCATTTGATCTTCACAACCATCTTGTGAGACAGTTGTTATTATGCTCATTCTGCAGATGAGAAAACTGAGGCTTAAACAGGTGAAGGGACTTGCCCAGAGTCATATAGTTCATAAGTGTCTGATTCAGGTTTTGAAATCGTGTCTTCCTGACTCAAAATTCAGTGTTTCTGAAATATTACCTATTAAAATGGATTTTACCAAATGAATAGGAGAACAAAGGGAATTCAAAAGCCTAGTGTTTTAAACACCCAAAACACAAACTCCTGGGAAAGGACTCTTTATTTGACAAGAACCACTAGAAAGCCATTTGGCAGAAAGTAGGCTTATACCAACATATTCATTACAACATACACCACGATTAGTTTCAAATGAATTTTGGTCCAGACCTGGAATTTCACTGAATTCTTAATGAGGAAACTCCCTATGCCATGGTAAATAGGCACTTACTCTTCAACTTGTAATCTAAAGAGTTGCCTGGGACACTGAGAGATTAAGTGCCTACCCAAGGTCATGCAGCTAATATGGGTCAGAAGTGGCACTTGAACACAAGCCTTCCTAACTCTAAGGGCAGCTTTCTATTAGCTCTATCTCACCTCTACCAAATATCAAGGGTCACATCATTTAAAAAAACAAACAAAAACCCAACAACAACCTTGAGGAGAATAGAAAGTCATTCTGGTTAGGAGGAGAAGGGTGGAATTCATATTGGCACAAACAAAATCCATGCAGCCAGGATAATTTTAAAATGTGAATGGGGTGGTGGCAAGAATTAGAAATTGAGGTGATGCCCATCCATTGGGGAATGGCTGAACAAGTTGTGGTACATGAATGTAATGGAATACTATTGTGCTATAAGAAATGATGAGCAGGCGGACTTCAGAAAAACCTGGGAAGACTTGTATGGACTGATGCGGAGTGAAGTGAGCAGAACCAGGAGAATGTTGTACATAGTAACAGCCACGTTGTATGATAACTAACTTTGATAAATGTAGGTCTTCTCAGCAATGCAAGGATCTAAGACATCTCCAAAAATCTCATGATGGAAAATGCGATCCACATCCAGAAGAAGAACTATGGTGTTTGAGTGCAGATCGAAGCATACTATTTGCTCTTTTTTTCCCTTCTGTTTTGTTTTATTTCCTCTTTCTTGTGATTCCTCCTATTCTTCCTTACAACATGACTACTGTGAAAATATGTTTAATAGGAATGTATATGTAGAACCTATATGAGATTGCATGCCATCTTGGGAAGGGAGGGGGAGAAAATTTAAAACTCAAAAGCATATGGAAGTAATGTTGAAAACTAAAAATAAATTAATAAAAATATTTTTAAAAAGAACTTAAAATGTGCATTTGGGAGGAATTTTTTTAAAAAAACATCTTTGATAAAAGTTTATAGAAAATTGACACAATTCAATAAGACTAGGACACAAGACAATGGATGAGGGGTTAAATGATATGAACAGTTTTCAGAAGAAGAAATTCCAACTATCAACAACCATATGAAAAAATACTCTAAATCACAAGTAAAGTAAATGCAAATTAAAACAACTTTGAGGATTAACCTTATAGCTGTCAAATTGGCAAAGATAGTAAGGAGCAGAAATAGTCAGTGCTGGTGGGGTTTGAGGAAGACAGGCATGCTAACATTAGAGTGCTGGACCTGAAGGCAGGAACACCTGCGTTCACATCCTGCCTCAGACACTAACTAGCTATTCAACCCTAGGCAAGTCAAATAACCTCTGCTTCAGTTCCCACCTTTGTAAAATTTGGATAATAACAGCACCTACTCACAAGGTTGTTGTGGGGACCAAATGATAACATTATTTGTAAAGCACTTTGCAGACCTTCACATAATATATAAATAGTATGAACACATTTGGTGAAATTGTGAATTGGTCCAACCATTCTAGATAACAATTTACAATTGTGTGAGAAAAATTACCAAACCTATTTATATTCTTTGATATCGCAATCCCACTATTGAAGTCAATCATAGAAATAAAGGTGCCATATGTGTCAAAACACTATTTGAAATAACAAAAAACTGGAACAAATTGTGTGTTCAATGACTGGGGAGCAGCTGGATGATTGTGAAATATGAGTGTAATGGAATATTATTTCAGTCTAAGTAATGCTGAGTATGAAGAATTCTGAGAAACATGAGAAGAGTTATATGAACTGATACAGAAGAAAGAAATAAGAATCAGAAGAACACATGCAGTGACTACAATTATGTCAAATGAAAGTACTACCAGAAGGTGGCTAAAGGCTAAAGCTGAGGTCAAATGTGATGGCCAATGTTGGTTCATTCCTTTCTGTTAAGAATGGTCAAGTGAAACAGGAGAATGATAAATGTTGGAGAAGATGTGGGAAAATTGGAACACATGCATCGTTGATGGAGTTGTGAACTGATCCAACCATTGTGAGAGCAATTTGGAACTATGCTCAAAGGGCTATAAAAATGTGTATGCCCTTTGACCCAGCAATAGCACTTCTAGGGCTGTATCCCAAAGAGATCATAAAAATGGGAAAAGGACTCATTTGTACAAAAATACTTATAGCAGCTATTTCTGTGGTGGCAAAGAATTAGAAATTGAGGAGATGCCCATCAATTGGGGAATGGCTGAACAAGTTGTGGTACATGAATGTAATGGAATACTATTGTGCTATAAGAAATGATGAGCAAGCAGACTTCAGAAAAACGTGGAAAGATTTGTATTGTCTGATGCTGAGTGAAGTGAGCAAAACTAGGAGAACGTTGTATATAGTAACAGCCACTATGTGCGATGAATAACTTTGATAGACTTAACCCTTTTCAGCAATGCAAGGATCTAAAATATCTCCAAAAGTCTCATGATGGAAAATGCTATCCACATTCAGAGAAAGAACTATGGAGTGTGAATGCAGATCAAAGCATACTATTTGCTCTATTTCTTCTATTTTGTTTTGTTTTCTCTTTCTTGTGGTTCCTCCTATTGGTTCTAATTCTTCTTTACAACACGACTAATGTGAAAATATGTTTAATAGGAATGTATATGTAGAGCTTATATCAGATTGTGTGCCGTCTTGGGGATGGAGGAGGGGAGAGAGAGGGAGAAAATTTAAAACAAAAGTTTATGGAAGTAAATGTTGAAAACTAAAAATAAATTAATTTTTTAAAAAAGGAAATGGTCAGATGAAAAATGCAAAGTTGAGGGCAGAGATTGTCTTTTGCCTCTTTTTGTATCCCCAGTACTTAGCACAATGCCTGGCATATAGTAGGTGCTTAATAAATGTTCATTGACACATAGCATCAGTTGTTTTTAACTGTTTTTGTTTTTTAAATGGGGGGGAGAGGGTGAATTATGAGTTTATTCTTTTCCAGATAGTAACTGATGTGTCAGAACAAAACCAGTGAATACAATTTAATGGAATGGGGAGATCCGCTAGAGCTAAATTAGCATTTTCCCCGT